CCCGCCATGGCTCCTCCCTCACAAGATCTTCCCGCCCCTCACGGCGGCGCTCGGGCGCCCCCCGGCGGAGAGCGGGGACAAGCGGGGCCCTCTCTCCCCGTCTCCTCCCTTCCTTCTCCCTATTTTTCCCCTCTCCCCATCTCTCCATCTTCCCCATCTCTCTCATTCCCGTTCTCCCGACCCTCCCGTCTTTCCCCCGTTTCTTCCCCTCCGTCCGTCCTTGAGCGCGGGGTCACAGCCGAGCCCGGCCCCTCGGGTTCCTCCGGTCCCTCCTCTTCCTGCCGGGCCGTTACCGGCGCCGTTGCCGTGAAGCGGCTCCAGGTGAGGCGGGGCCGGGCCCTACGGGGCAGGGAGGGCGAGAGAGCGGGGCCGGCTCCTGGGGGGTTCAGTCCATCCCCCCTTCCCCAGTCCCACTGGGAATCGCTCAGTTCGCACTGCCAGGGAATAACTCCCCCCTTTCCCACCCGACCCCCTCGGGGGGATGAGGGTTCTACATACGGTTCTTTTATTTATCGATCAAGTTTGTTGAAATCGGGGCTGCCGAGTTATGAGAAGGTCACTTTCGGAGCGATCATTGAATTTTTATAGTGTGTTTATTGATTGATCATTCTGTTTAAGTAGTAGTTACACGGGGTTTTATGGCTGTATGAAAATCAGTTATCTTTGTATTATCTTTGTATTATCTTTGTCAGCCGCCCAGACGGGATAAAATCATTGGATCATAAATAAAAGATGTTTATGAGCTCCGTTATCACGAGCTGATTAATACCTTACATGGGTCAAAGCCAGCTGAAAACATTGAGGACTGATCCAGTCCCAAGTACATGTTCTTTTCCTTCTCTGGGTTAGCAAAATGGCAGTTTGGTATATGCAGGAGATATAAACGTTGCAAATTCTTTAATTAACCTTGAGGAGTTGATTTGATCTAGCTTTTTGTTTGACAGTGGAGGGAGTTGTTGCCCTCCCTGTGTCTTCAGCTCCACTGACGCTGCATTTCCCTAAGGATTCCCAAGAATAAAGAGGAGTGGGCTGATGTGTAACTGGTGTCCAGTTAGTGTTATATTCTTATATTTTGATTTTACATAAGGACTGGTTTTGTCACCTGCCGAGATACTGCCCTGGCTGTGTCCTCAGCTAACCCAGAATCACTGGAATTGTTGACAGAAGGAAATAGTGAATGCTATCGATCTGACTTCCAGGATTACACCCCTGCCTGGCACCAGTGAAGGAGTTTGGCCACTGCTGGGATATAAAGGCTGAACGAAGTGACTCTGTAACCTGAGTGCTGATCCAGATGTTGCTGTGCAATACCAAGGACGTGCTGTGATGCCCTCCTTTGCCAACGTACCAGGTTGTAGCTCTTGAGGCCTTGATCCAAGGGAGTAGGAAATTGAGCTGTTGCTGAATGTAGGTACAGAGGAGAAGGGAGGGATTTGTTTCAGCAGTTATTGCTCAGCATCAAGCTTCTTTCCAGTTTACACTGGAATGAGTTTGCTGAAAGGCAAGAAAGGCAATACAATAAATAATAGAAAAATAAATGTGATAAAAATGCTTCCTGGGAATTGTGCAGTGCAATACAAACCTGTGTTCCTGCTGTTATACCAGGAAAAAAGTAAATTGTGAATTAATTTTCATTTACATGTTAATACTACTACTACTTCAATAGTAATTAATTAGAAATGTAAATGAATGACTTTAAGCTTAAGGAGGGCAGGGTTTGATGGGATTTTGGGCAGGAATTGTTCCCTGGCAGGGTGGGCAGGGCTGGCACAGGGTGCCCAGAGCAGCTGTGGCTGCCCCTGGATCCCTGGCAGTGCCCAGGGCCAGGTTGGACACTGGGACAGTGGGAGGTGTCCCTGCCATGGCAGGGGTGGCTCTGGGGGGGATTTAATGTCCCTTCTAACCCAGACCATTCTGGGATTCTGTGATTTCAATATTAGTCTGTAAAAGAAGAAAATAACTGCTGAATTTTAGTCGGGATTTCTTTAATATATCAGACTAAACATAAGACTTACGCCCTGGAAGTTCTTTTATAAAAAAGGGTATTTAACATGATTTTTTTGTACAAATGTGTCTGTAGGTTCTTTATAATGTAGCTGCATCTGAAGACATCCCCGGTGGCTTTGTGTCGTGCTGATAACAACATGGGCCATTGTGTCGTGGGACGGGGAGCCATGATTCCAAGGAAGCTGAAGCCCTTTCTCTGCAGGATGCTGTCGGGTTACAAACCCAAGAACGACGTCAAGGGCTCCTACAAAATTCTGGAGCTCGAGGAAGGATGTTCCCCCGACGACGTCAGAAGCTCCTATCACAACCTTGCCAAGAAATACCACCCTGACAGCAGCTCCGGCACGGCCGATTCCAAGGCCTTCATCAAGGTGGAGGAGGCCTACAGGCTTGTGCTCAGCGACCTGACAGCCAAGCAGAAATCAGAGGCCGGCGAGGAGAAGGAGGAGGAGGAAGAGCAATTCAAATCCAAATCCCTGCAGCACAGGCACTACCTGAGCTTCGAGGGCGTGGGCATCGGCACGCCGAGCCAGCGGGAGAAGCAGTACATGCAGTTCCGCGTGGACCGCGCCTCCGAGCAGGTGCTGCAGTACCGGCAGCAGAGGCTGGAGGGCCGCTACGCCGGCAGCGACCTCAGCACGGCCAAGGACGTGCGGCAGAGCAAGAAGGTGAAGATAACTCAGGCGGTGGAACGGCTGGTGGAGGACCTCATCCAGGAATCCATGGCCAAAGGGGACTTCGACAACCTCAGCGGCAAAGGGAAGCCTTTGCAGAAGTTCTCGCACAGCCCCCACATCGACCCCATGACCCACAACCTGAACAGGATCCTCATCGACAACGGGTACCAGCCCGAGTGGATCCTGCTGCAGAAGGAGATCCGGGAGACCATCGAGAGGCTGAGGAAGAGCGTGGTGGCCGCCAGGAGGAAGCTCGGGGAGCCCATGACGCTGCCGGAGCAGAAGCAGTGGGGCCGCGTTTGTGAGCAGTTCGCAGAGGACATCAGGAAATTAAACAAGAGAGTTGACGACTTCAACCTGGTGGTGCCCATCCTGAGCAGGCAGATGGTGCATTTCAGCATGGACAAGGAAATCCTCCGGGCACGAAAGACTTACGAGGCTGTCCTGGAAAAGGTTTCTGATTCAGACACCAAGGAGAGCGAGGGGGAAAAGGGCAAAAGGTTTGGGTGGAAGTCTTCTCTGTTGAAGTGGTTAAAACTTACACCGAAATAATTTCGTGCTAATTGCTCTTGTCAAGGTTTTGAATGCACTTTATTGATGAAATATAGCACTAGAGAAATGTCAGGTCCACTGAAAATGTGAAATGCACGCTGTCACCTTACTTGAAGGAAATTTGGTTGTGTGATGAGCATTTGCATTGCAAATAATTGAGTTATTTTTCAATGTTATTAAAGGAAATGTGCCAGTTTGGCTTGTGGTAGAGTTAATTTTTCTCATCGTTAGTCTGGGGCTGTGTGTTGGATTTGGGCTGGGGGCAGTGCTGACCATTCCAGGGTGTTTTTATTGCTGGGCAGGGCTTGCACAGCCCCTTTTGTGCCCTTCACACCTCCCCTCCCCTCCCCTGAGCAGCTGCTGGCTGCCTTAAACCACAGCAGCAACAAATCGGTTCTTCTCTTGCAGGTCATTTATTTTCCTTCTGCTGAAATCCAAATTAATGCTTCACTTCAGCACAGACCACAATCACTTTGACAGTCTCTTATCACTTCAAAGGAGAAACAGAGGCATTAGAAAAACACATTAAAGTGGAGGCAAATGTCTTGCTGTGCCCTGTTTGTCCTTTGCACTCTTATTTCAGTACTTACAGCTCATTAATTTTTGGCTGCCTATTTTTTAAACATACATTCAACTCTTTAAGGTTAAATTCAGTGAAGGTAGGGTTCTTGGCTTGGACTGTACACGTGCACAAATCCATTTTTGCATCTTTAACACAGAAAGAGGTCTTGGAAATTTATTTATTGGTGAACACCCCCTGCCATGGGCAGGGACACCTTCCAGCTCTGTGTATGAATGTTCACTTACATCATTTATTCTTGTTTACAGTGCAAACTGTTAATGAAAGGTACTTTTCTGAAGGTCCTTATAATATACTGGAAAACCCCACATTTTGATTCTCATTATGGTCTGCAGGAATTGGATCAGAATTGCTGGTCAGACAGACCCAGTGGGAGACTTCAAGAGCAAATTGAATTCATGGCACAAGGGTAAATAGAAACCAGGTTGCAGGAAATGGGACCCACTCTGGCTCACAAAGAAGCATCAGCACTTTCAATACCAGAGAATTAAATAAAGAGTGAATCAGCAGACTGATGGATTTTTATGTTTTTATTAAAACCATTTGGGTTTAAATGGGGCAGGTGTGACCTGACCCAGGCACTTCAAATCAGCCTTGCACTGATGTCATCAAAAACTGCCAGGCACAAAAATCCACTTCTGCAACATTTACAGTGATGATGGGGAAATATAATTCCCACTTTTATTTTGCCCAGGTGTGTAGAGGAGTTCAGTGTTTCAGGGCTTGTCTGTAATTTTGTTGCTCTGAGTTCACAAAACCTTAAGAGCAGTGTTTAGTCAATACTGAGGAATATCAACTACTGCACACAGAAAACTCAGGAGAGAATGACCTTCAGAAGGAATTTTTCTGGCTGACACTGAACTGTTAATTTGAATTTGATAAATCTTATTTTATGACTGTGAGAAAGGGTACAATCATTGCTGACCCCAGATCCAAACTCATGTTGTTTATTCTATTCTATTTGTTGGCCTAATAACCCCATGCCTTGAAAGGCTTAAGTGACATTTTAATATGAAGACAAAAGATTATATACATATATACTTTTATATATTAAGAAGATACAGTATTTGAGGTCTCAGTTTATCTCAGGGGGAGGAATCTCTTTCTTGCCCAACAGGGCAAGCAGCGATGGCTTGAAATAAAAGAGAGATTTAAACTAAGTATTGAGAAGAAATCCTTCCCTTTTTTAAGCACTGTGAGTGTCAAGTGCTGCTGAGGATTTCTCAGTTTCTCTGTTTCAGAGCAGTAACATCTTGGGATGAACATGAAGATACAGAGAAGGCTCAGAGATGAAGGAATAAATGAGAAGCAAAAGCAAGGCATCTTGTAAATGAAATATATAAGTGATAAATCTTTATTGTTAGTGGGAGAAGGTGCTCCTCTGAGGGAATGGGGTGTGTGGTGTCTCTGGACCTGATGGAACAGTGTGTACATGTAAGTTAAAAAAAAAGAAGAGAGGACTTTGAGTACAATCTGATTCTTTCAATTCCGTGTCTTTGAGATGTGCCCTCTAATCCACAGAATGCTGATTTTGATCCCGTTCTCTTTGCCCAGGGCTTTTATTCAGCATCTGTCTTTTGCCACTTACTTGTTTTGCTGTTTTAAACAATGAGTTTATTGACGTGTTTGTTACCCCCATATTTCTTGTCCAGTAGATTCCCTTCCAACCCAGACCGTTCTGTGATTGATGCTATGAATTAGAATTTATCCATGTTTATTAATTCCGTTTAGTTTCATTAAAGCAGACATCGACTTTGATATCAGTTTTCCTGGTTTCAGGGGTCTGAAGACCCCCTTATCCTGTGGTGTCTTTGTCCTTGTATCCTGTTTCCACATTCTTGACCCAACCTTGTAGCTTTGCTCTCCTCCTGTTCTTGGAAGCACCGTAAATTATAGCAAATATACAATTTTGTCAGTCCTCCTTTTAGTCAAAGCATTTCTTGGTGCTTGATTCTTAATTCTCAATTTCTCTATGTTATAAATGAGAGACAAAAGTCTCGATATTCAGCAAAATTTAGATTGCTTTATTTGATATAGAAAGAGCAAGCAGCGCTGGGGAACGTGAGGGGTCACTGCCCACTCCACGCTCCACCCAACCTTGGTTTGCAGCCTCTTCTTATACTGTGGGTTCTCGGTGGAATCAATAATTTTGGGGGTTTTTTTGCTGTCATAATTTTGCCAAGTAAGCAGCGGTGGTCGAATAAACATCCGTATTCAAATTGACAAAGTCTCCGGGTGACAGTCAGTCACAGATAACCGTCTGATCTGTGTAGATAACCATCAGTGGAATCTGGATGTCTGGTCCTTGAGATCAAAGGCAGGAAAGATTATCGGGAAGTTCTGATTTTGCAAGCTGGTAGTCGATACAACTTATTTGGAAAACGTAATATTCATAACAAGGTGATTTAAAACAAAATGATTTAATCATGTATTTTCCTTTATCTTGTGTGCATGCTTCACGTCAGACCTTAGTATTCTGGTTTACGCAAACCCCAATGCTTTTGTGATTAAGGCGAATCTTTTCTCAGTTATCACATCTATTGCAGTGGGGCAGCGGAGGAGGCCGGGGGTCACTGAGGGCCGTGAGGGGTCTGAGGGGGCCGTGAGGGGGCGGCCATGGCGGGAGCGGCTCCGGCCGTGAGGGGAAGGGGGCGGGGCCTGCGGGGAAAGGCGGGAGCGCGCTGGCCCCGCCCCTTCCCGCCCCGCCCGTGCGGGAAAGGGCGGGGCTTACGGCGCGTGGCGCCGTATTGACCAATCACAGCGCTCCATCCTCACCCAGCCCCCCTCTGACGCGCCGCGCTGCGTTCTGATTGGTCAGAGTGTGCGTCAATCAGGGGGGCTCGGTACCCGCAGGCGGAAGCGTCTCGCCCAGGAGCGGGTACGTGCGGCCGCGCCGGGCCGGGCGGCACCGGCACCGGGGCTGAGGCTGGAGCGGGACCGGGACCGGGATGGGGAGTGGGGATGGGGACTGGGACAGGGAGAGGGGCAGCGAGACAGGGACCAGCACCGCGAGGGACCCCCGGGCCGCTCCCCTGGGACACCGGCACGTCCCGGTGTGTCACGGATTGCCCGGCCCTGAGGACGCACCGCCGGTGCTCCGCGGAGAGCTGGGCTCTGTAGGTGGAGTTAAAGAGAAAAAATATCTTACTTTGTCTAAAGAGCAGTTGATTGGGGCCGTGGGGTCGCGGCTCGTCCTGCCCGGATTCCATCGCAGGCTCAGCGATGCCCTTGCTGCGGGCTCGAGTCACAGCCGGCCTCGGGAGAATTGCGAAATCCAGATTTTTTATTTCCTTCTCTGCCTCCTCAAGTCTTCAAACTTTAATAGCGCTCTTAAAGAGCCCCCGCTGCAGGCAGTTTTGGGGATAAGTCATGGATTGGGTTGGAAGGGACCTTAAATCCCACCCAGAGCCACCCCTGCCATGGCAGGGACACCTCCCACTGTCCCAATGTCCAGGCTGGCCTTGGGCACTGCCAGGGATGAGGCCTCATAATTAATGAAAATATTATTATTATCACTTTTTAATAAGTTGGCCACACAGCCTTGTTGTTGGTATAAATACATTTAAAACTTCCTTTTTTTGCTTTTACTGTAATACTTAAAAGTTAGACAGCAGAGCCCAGTGCTGTGGAATAGGGAGAACTGAAAGTGGAACTGCAGGAAATAACTGAAATAAGTGGGAAAATGACAGTGGGTGTCACAGAAATGTTCACATAAGCTCCTCATGTGCTTTTCATCCTCTGTGCATGTGTGACATAAAGGATATTCTGATGAGCTGCTTGTGGAAGGTGCATCTTCAAGGAAAACTTGAATATTCTTTGTGACTTTAAGCTTTTTCCCTTTCTCCTTCTGTCTTTTCCTCTCTTTTTTGGAAACAGGTGGTTCTGTCCTTTATTAACCCAATGATATTCCTTGTTAAGGCATTTTTTTTCCTGCAGACTTTTTGAATTTCCTTGCACCTGCTTTCAGTATTTTGTTCAGGTGAAAGCAGTTCATTCTGGCAGAAAAAAAGCTGATTTTCAGGTGGAAATGCTGAGCTGCTGTTGTGTTTTCTGTCTGCAGTGGGTTTAGTCTCAGTGCTGGCATCTGCCAAGGGTGCTTTTTACAGCTCCACTTGTGCTCGCTTGGTTCAGAGTCTCCAGCTTGTTCCTGCAGATGTGTTTTTATTTGCTGGACACGAGGGAGGAATGTTCCTGCCTGCCCTTGGGAAAGGGGAGGAGGCTGATGGTGGGAAGGGCGTTGAAGGACGGGAATGCCAAGGGCTTTACCTCCTTCCTCCTTGGCAGGTGTGTGAGTGGGAGAGTTGAAACCACAGAGTCAATTCTCCACCTTTATCCAGGTGGGAAATTCCAGCTGAAAGCACCTGGCTCCACCTGAGGTGTGTGTGCAGCAGGAGTTGCTGGGCTGACAGCTGTCCCTGTGTCCCTGTTCATCCTCCTGGGGACAAACTCCAGCCTGGCTCTTGTGCTGTCCAAGGAGCTCAGCTTTGCAGTGGGGTTGGTTTTTTAAAATGCATTTTTAAAATATTTTCTTCCTTTTTTTCTAAGGCTGTTGAGAATTACAGATCATGGAATGTTTGGGTTGGAGGGACCTCAAATCCCCCCCAGTGCCAGCCCTGCCATGGCAGGGACACCTTCCAGCTCTGTGTATGAATGT